TATCTTAGGGAAGCATCAGACGTTTGGCAACTTGGTCTCTGAGGCGGCCATCTGGAGCACTTGAAGTTGCCGCCAAAATAAACGCGGTGGCGGGAAAAGTGTATTCCTGATCTAATAGCTTACGATGGCAGGATCTTTGTTACTTGACGGTGTGTGTGTGTGAGAGAGAGAGAGAGAGAGAGAGAGAGAGAGAGAGAGAGAGAGAGAGAGAGAGAGAGAGAGAGAGACGTCTTCGGCAATATGTAAATACGTAGAAGTCATCAATACCTCATCACGGCTATATTTTAACCATACAACCGGGTTCCATAAACAATTTCGTATAGTCTCTCTAGTGATCCTCTATATGTATAAGTATACCACAAATTCACTATATACATATGTATTTTATGTATTCCCAAACGCCTTTGAATAGAGTATCAATGAGGAATATACATGCAAACAACACTATGAATACGTGATCAGGTTCTAGTGGCCAGCAGAGATTGAGAGATTGATGCGTTTAATTCCATCCTATAACTAGATAGAAGCCATTAGACCTGCCACTATGTAAACTACCCAACTACCCCAGATGGTTAAAATGGCGACGATATTAAACCGAGACTCTACTAGGATACGTGGTGTTCTTATTTTTGTTTTCCAATTTACACGATAAGACGTCAAGAAACCTTAAACTAATGACGTCAAGAAACCTTAAACCAATGACGTCAAGAAACCTTAAACCAATAACGTCAAGAAACATTCATCATCCATCGAATCGCAATTTAATTAAACCTTGCGAATTATAAACCCACACGTTAAACCATTACCAATAAAACAAAACAGAAATAGTACAATAATAAACTAAAAATAAAAGTTTAAAATAAAATCAAGGTGAAAGTAATTAAATGTCTTCTAATTACTTTTCACCTGTCAATTTTACCTGTATTTCGAACTTTAAGACAATAAAGGCGATAGTTCCCAGGATAACAATACGATATTGATACTAATGACTTGGTAAAAGAGGCAAAAATTCTCTCTTCCCTTAGTTTAATTCTCAATTTTAATAGGTTCCAGTTGTAATAGGTTCCAGTTTTAATAGGTTCCAGTTGTAATAGGTTCCAGTTTTAATAGGTTCCAGTTGTAATAGGTTCCAGTTTTAATAGATCCCAGTATTAGTTGACTCCAGTTTTAATAGGCTTAGTTTTAATAGGCTTAGTTTTATTAGGCCCCAATTACAGCACTCCCCAGTTTTAATAGGTTAGGCTAGACATTAGATTAGGTTAGGTTAGGTTAAATTACGTTAGGTTAGCATTAGTTTCTTTAAATACCATATGAAACCAATTAGGGTTTGCTAATCATCAGGTGTTCCAAACCTCCTTGAAAACTCTACAGGTGAGAGAACTACACCTGACTCTTCACATTCTATCAATTTAATCACTTTACGAAAAATATATTAAGGTCCTAAAAATTCCTCGTTCCAAATACCACAACGAAAAAAGCTGAGTTAAATTGGTTTCAAAATTGGACTGAGAAATTATTGGAGCTAATTACAAATATCCTTGGAAGGTTAATTGCCCCCGCCCCCCCCCCCCGAAAGGTATTTCATAGAGGAATGAATACGTCATTTTCAGCTGATTTATATTCTAGATGGGTGTAAGATGGATGTTAATAGGAAAATAGGGAGTGAAATAGGGAAAAAAGGATCGGTAATACGGAAATAGGAATAGCAATAGGAAAATACAGACAGTAATAGAGAAATGGTAGCAGTAATAGGGGAATACGGACAGCAAATGGGTAATAAACGTGGGGAAATAGGGACTGTAAAAATAGACTGTTACTTTACCAGAATGGGCGTCAAATACGTACTCCACACAACAGAAGCCTCACACGTCTCCAGCCTTGACTCGTGTTGACAAAATTACTCATTCTTGTGTCTCGGTGTAGCCTGCCAGGTAATGTTGGAGGGTGTTGGAGGGTGTTGGTGGGTGTTGGTGGATGTTGGTGGGTGTTGGAGGGTGTTGAAGGGGGTTGGTGGGGGGTTGGTGGGTGTTGGAGGTGTTGGAGGTGTTGGTGGGTGTTGGGGTGTTGAAGAGTGTTGGAGGTGTTGGTGGATGTTGGAGGTGTTGGAGGTGTTGGAGGGTGTTGGAGGGTGTTGGTGGGTGTTGGAGGGTGTTGGTGGGTGTTGGAGGTGTTGAGGTGTGTTGGAGGGCAGGTGTGTGTTGGTGAGTGTTGGAGTGTTGGAGGGGGTGTTGGTGGGTGTTGGAGGTGTTGAGAGTGTTGGAGGGTTGGTGGGTGTTTGTGGGTGTTACAAGAGTGTTGGTGTGTGTTGGTGGGTGTTGGAGGGTGTTGGAGAGTGTTGGAGGGTGTTGGTGGGTGTTGGAGGGTGTTGGAGTGTTGGAGGGGTTGGTGGGTGTTCGTGTGCGTTGGAGGTGTTGGTGGGTGTTGGAGGGTGTTGGAGAGTGTTGGAGGGTGTTGGTGGGTGTTGGAGGGTGTTGGAGAGTGTTGGAGAGGGGGGTTGGTGGGTGTTCGTGTGCGTTGGAGGGCGGTGTTGGTGGGTGTTGGAGGTGTTGGAGGTGTTGGTGGGTGTTGGAGTGTTGGAGGTGTTGGAGAGTGTTGGTGGGTGTTGGAGGGTGTTGGTGGGTGTTGGTGGGTGTTGGAGGGTGTTGGAGAGTGTTGGTGGGTGTTGGAGGGTGTTGGAGAGTGTTGGTGGGTGTTGGAGGGTGTTGGTGGGTGTTGAGGGTGTTGGTGGGTGTTGGAGGGTGTTGAGGGTGTTGGTGGGTGCTGGAGGTGTTGGAGGTTTGTTGTTGGAGGGTGTTGGAGGTTGTTGTTAATATAGACACAACAAGATACACAATCCGACCAATCACAGACTAGCAAGAGAGATTTCCACCAATGAGCTGATGTTATTCTCGCTCTAGGGTGCCAGCTAGGGGGAATTACAATATTTTCTTGGCATGAGGAGATATATTGTTGCCGCTTCGTGTCATGCCGTGCCTGGGGGGGGGGCTGTCATGTCTTGCAGCTGCCAGGAAGGACAGCTAAGGTCACTACTGTTATTGCGTTTCTGAGAGAGAGAGAGAGAGAGAGAGAGAGAGAGAGTTAATACAATACCGTCACAGGGATAGGTTAGGTTAGGTTAAATAAGGCTTGGCTAGGCTCCACGTCCAGGCAAAGGTCAGGGTATTAGTAAACCTTCATTTTCAGCGAGGTGTGGTCAGCAAGATGGCCGGGTTAGTTAAGTGCTTATCTTAATTATAAACTTTCTACCTGAGTCACCTGTTGGCCACCTGGGGGGGGAGGAAGTCACGTGTAATTAGCGACGGTGTTGTGTGTTTATTGAGCATTTCCTATTTTCATTCTGGGAAGTTGTTCTAGCCAATTAAAAATCTCCAAGGGTAATGACGTCATTATTTAGAGGACTATGATTAGCTGAGGTAAAACAAAGGGGATACTTCGGGGGGTAAAGTTTTGACGCGTGGGCCAATCACACAGTTTCGAGGATAATGACGTCATAACTAAGAGAGCTGTGACTGGCCAACGGAAACTGAGGGGAGACTACAAACGGGGTTTCTCTAGCCAATCACAGACATCACATAATATTGACGTCATAACTTAGAGAACTGTGATTGGTCAACGCAAAACTCAGGGGACACTACAAAAATAACATATGACTCATTGAAGAAAAGCACAGACTGGGTTAAGTATATATTTAGTCGCTATATTTCCCACGTTTAGTCGCTATATTTCCCACGTTTAGTCGCTATATTTCCCACGTTTAGTCGCTGTATTTCTCACAGTCGTTCTCATTCCCTCAAATTCACATTAGTCTTGTATATATTCCACATCAAACGCTCTCTCTCCTTCACAACGCTCTGACCCCTTACTCCAGTGCTGTATAAATTAACCCTCACTAACAAATACACTAGACCCCCCCCCAACTTCCTACTTCCCTCTATAGAAAACGCATTCATAGAAAACGTAAAAGTGGTAGTGAACTCAATTCTCGTTTTCTATATGAATATCGTTTGAGATTCCCCATTTTTTTTCTTTAGGGTAGACTCATGCATTACCAGCTCTGCCATAGGAGATTTTGACCTCTCTTAATAAATAATGACCTCGTGACTTGGCTTAGTGACCTGTATTGTGGCTGAATGACCTGTGACCTCTTGGCTTTAGATATTGGGTCATCCAGATTAGTCTTACCGTAGTCATAGATTCGGGTTAGTCCATTATCAAAAGTACAGAGTGATTGATAAGTCACTGTGTACCTGAGATAATTAATGTGCACCTGAGATAATTAAATAGAATTGGTATTACTTATTATACATATATTGTTAGTTATTTCCAGTGCACAGGGAGTTTTCGATCACCCTGTGTATGTCTATATGTCCTTCACAGGTATGTAGATGCCGGGTGTAGTATTGCAAAGTATTTATAAATGTTCCTTAAAATCCACAAGACAATCAATTCCTAGTAATGTGGTTATGTAGCGAACAGTAGGAGGCGGTGAAGGTGTGTGTGTGTGTGTGTGTGTGTGTGTGTGTGTGTGTGTGTGTGTGTGCGTGTGCGTGTGTGCGTGTGTGTCTATATCTACTTGAAAGGATGATGGTCTTTACAGCGTGTAGGTCCTCCTGACGCGGCCACGGTGGCGGGCGTGGTATCAGAGCTGGTGGTCGTGGGCGTCTCTACCCTGCTCCTATCCCACCCTCGTTCCTCCATCCCGACCCTAATCCTCACCTTCTACCTCTCTCTTGCCTTCTGTATATTTTGCCTGGCCTATGGGTTAGCCTGAAGAAGGGTCACTGCCCTTCTCCCTCCTCACCACTCTAGCGGTGAGGAGGGAGAGTGGTGTCCTGGGTATATCTGAGGTAACCTGGGATGACCTAGAATAACCTAAGATAACCTGGAGTGACCTAAGGTGACCTATGATGACCTAAGGTAACCTGGAATAATGTAAGATGACCTGGGATAATGTAAGTTGACCTAGGATGACCTAAGGTGACCGTGTTTGGTGTCAACAGAGGTCCATGTCTGGGGAGCAGTACAGCATGGTGTTGCTCGGTAAGCGTCGCGCCTCGGCGGCCCACGAGCTCCTCTACACGTCCCTCCTGCCGTCCTCGGGGCCCACCAAGCTCTCCTACCCAAAGGGCACCAACGGTAACCTGGACGACCTACTGCCCTACAGGCGCTCCTCCAAGGCCAGTTCCATTATCTGGAGTGACCTGGACGGTGCGCCCCTCACCATGCATCGCAAGGGCCTCAACGGGCTCGCGGAGTACAACCCTACTACAAGTCGAGGGTCTCAGGGCATCAACGGTTTTGGGGACTACAGCGTCACTTCACGTCGAGGGTCTCAAAGCATCAACGGTTTTGGGGACTACAGCTCCAGCACACGACGGGGGTCTCAAGCACACAGCGACCTCGACGATATGGAGAGGTCATCCCGCGGGGTGACTGAACTCTCAGGCCTCGACTCCGGCAATTCTTTGTACCGTAGAGGCGCACAGGAGGAGCAGGAAGAGAGCACCTATAACGCCGTGGTGCCATATAATCCTGTCGCGCGGGAAGAAGAGTTTGAACCAGCTCCTCTCTGTCGGTCGGACACTGTCGCCAAACTCATGGATAAATATACAAACTTCTCGACCAAACGAGAGTTCGGCTACCACGCCCCGGACAGTGCCTGGTCGAGACACCTGGGAGAGACGCGGGAGTTTGTGTCGCGGCTACCAGACGTGGCTGACGAGGAGGTGGAGGAGCCAATAGATGGGGCTGGATACACGCCCTCGGAGCGAAAACTATTACCTTCAACCAAACCCTCGCCACGGAAACCTGGTAAGGACATCAGCGGGTTGAGGGAGTCGAGGGAACACTCTCCTATGCCGCTATCCTCCTCCAGCAACGACATGTCAGCTGCCAACCTTCACGAGTCCTATGCCTTGGTTCCTGTGGATGATGACATAACAGACAGGAGGCGTGAGACCAGTTCCTACAGAGACCCAGAAGCCCGGGAGACCTCTGGCGTGTCCCAGGCTCGGTCCTCCCGCCGCTACAACAAGTACCAACAGGATGAGGAGTCCTCTACACCACCTTCTAAACGGAAGTCAAAGCGGCAGGACGCAAAATATCCTATGCTGGAAAACCTGGAGGCAACTCTGCCTATGGGGCGCCCTGGTGGTGCCCTCCAGAGGTACAGAGACAGGAAGGTCAAGGAAGCTCGGGACCTTCAGGACTACAACGAAGCCCTTAATGATATCGGAGACTGGCCAGAACCTCCTAAGGATCCTCGTGGTCGTGCGTCCAAGAGCTCAAAGGGTCGTTCTCTCCAGCAGGATGATGACCTCTACAGCAGTGGTGGTGGTCGTCCTTCCACACAGTCTGGCAGGAGCCGGCCAGACGAGGATGGTGACCCCAAGGCTTCTCGAGGTGAAGACACACGCAGCCGGCCGTCACAAGATCCATACGGCCAAGGTGTACAGGATTCTTACAGCCGGATACCAGAAGATTCCTACGGCAGGGCTTCACAGGATCCATACGGCAGGGCTTCACAGGATCCATACGGCAGGGCTTCACAGGATCCATACGGCAGGGCTTCACAGGATCCATACGGCAGGGCTTCACAGGATCCATACGGCAGGGCTTCACAGGATCCATACGGCAGGGCTTCACAGGATCCATACGGTCGAGATTCCCAAGACCTGTATGGACGAGGCTTCCAGGACTCCAGCAGCCGAGCCTCTCAGAGCGGTTACGGCCGAGACCAAGAGTACGGTCACGGCGAGAGGTCGATGAAGGGGAGGTACGCGGGCGAGGAGGCCAGTATAAGCGGCTACAACCCCCGACAACCAGCTTATGGCGGTGGGTTGACGGCTGGTTATGGTCAAGACTATGGTGGTTATGACACTGGTGGTGGCGGGTATGGGAGTCGATATGGCGGTGGTTATGGTGTCACTGGTGGATATGGTGCTGGTGGATATGGTGTCGGTGGATATGGTGCTGGTGGATATGGTGCTGGTGGATATGGTGCCGGTGGTGGTGCGGGTGGTTATAACACTATAGGCGGTTATGGTGGTGGGTATGGTATGACAGGAGGAGTAGGAGGGTATGGTGGTGGTGCTAGTGGTGGTAATGCCATGTACAGCAGAGGTTATGGGGCCAACAACATGCCCACTGGCCTCGACACACAAGGTCTGGCCCCAGTTAGTGCCTTCACCCCCGCCGGCGCCCGACTCAACCATGGGCGCTCTACCAGGTCCCCCTTAGCGCAGAAATTCCTCCCCAACATTGACGAGGAAGACACACACTCCGGCAGGAGCTTCACGCCCCGGGAGGAGGAGCGTCAAAGGATCTCTTCCTTGGCCCAGAAGTACCTCAAGAAGTCCTACTTAGACGATGAGTGATGGAAGGATGGTGGACGCTCAGTCAATCAATTCTTTCAAGTGATCACTAATGGATTGATCATCAACTCCAACAAGATGGACAGATTAAGTGATTAGTTCCTGTAGTGATCACTTTTTGAACAGCTGATCAAGAATTAGTTTTCTGTAATTAGATGACTTGATCACTAACTCCACACTTGGTCAGTTTTCGGAAGTTTGATCAACTCCTGATCAGCTAAAACACTCTGATAATAAGTATGTGTTTTTTTTCTATTAAATAACAATCAAAGAATGATCAGCTAGTGGAAGTTTGATCAGCTAGTGAACACAAAAATACTCCGTTATTGGACGTCTGATGAACTCCTGATCAGTCATCACTAACCAAAACTTAAACTGATCAATAATAAAACAATAACAGTAAACAATTAGTTAATAAAGTGATCAGAAAATAAAACAATGATCAGTTAATACAATGAGAATCAGTTAAAAAAATTATCAGTTAATAGCAGTGATGAAGAAAATATAATCGACTCAGTGAATGAAATAAATAAGTTTTTATGTAAATCAACGAATTCATGTATTACAAATTATCAAACTAAATATTAACAAAAACTCTAAATTATGTTAAAAAAAAGTGATACTGTTTATATTAACTTGTAAATATAACAATAGTCTTTCTTTTTTATCTTTTGGTGGTAGAGTTTTTATTGTTACTGAGTGTTGTATCGGTTATGGTGTTGGTGTATAAGATCTGTTTTTTCTTTTGACACATTAACTGGAGACTGATAATATCTCGTTTTTTTTTCTTTTAATTTCTTTTCTTTCTTTGTTACTTTAATTGGTACTGGATAATCAACGTATGGTGATCAGTGATGAGGTCTGATCAGGTTGTTTGGGTATAATAGTGAGAAAAGATAAAGAAAGAATGAAAACAACTGAGAAGCAAGACAGAAAAATTAAAATAAATGAATATCGAGACAAAAATAAAAAACACATCGTGAGAGAAAAGAAATAAAGAAATAAATCAAAACATCAAATAATCCAACGTTGAGAGAATTTTTTGTAAACTGTTGACTTTTCTTTTGTTTCTAGTGAATAGTATTTAAGCTCCTTTTGTTTTCATCTACACTATGACGTCATCATCAGTATTTATTAGCTTATTATTAATATTTTATGCCGTCAATAGTTTTTTTTTTGTGTTTTTGCTGTAAGTTAAGCTGTATATAATAATGAATTCATTGTCAAAGCTGCTTCAAAAAATGTTGTCAATAAATAAGTAATAAACATCAATAAGCACTTCACTAATTGGCTGAACTTTTCTATGACGTTCGAGACGCCTATTGGTTTTCTTGTCTATCAATCATGAGAAGGGGATATCTGATTGGTCATACTTCCCCTTGACGTCATAGGTGTTCGTTGATTGGTGGTCATACTTGTCTCTGACGTTGGGAGTGTTCGCTGATTGGAGGAGATTCTCGATTACGTCAGAGCTTTCTAATGAAGTCTTCATACAGCTTAGTTTATTCCTTCTGTTATAGTCTTTATGTTTTTTCTACTTATGGGGGAAGTCCTAACATATCATATTGTGATTACTTCTACACTCAAGCAAGATAAACTAGGTTGTTAGTTAGTATTTAGATAGTTATTAAACGTGTGATCATCTCGGTATGACTTGGCTCCTTGCTCTTTGTTTACTTCGATAGCCAATCAGAGGTTAAATATTTCAACAGCCAATTGGATGTCGCTACGAAGGTGTGACGTCATTGGACTCTTATCCAATCATAGCCATCCATCATAGAGAAGTTTATATTTTTTTCCTAAATTGATCAGAATTATATGTTTATAAATTCTTCTCTCTTTTACATTGATTGTTGTTTTTACCATTATTTTTGGTTTAATTTATAAATCACAAGAAAAGCAAATAAAAAAAAATAGTTTGAAGCTAATACAGAGAGCAAGAACAAGTTAGTAAAAGTTGATTACATTTCATTCTCTCTTTTTATTATTATTATTATTATATATTATCGTCCGTCCTGGGTATAAAAGAGTATACCACACGTGTAAATGTATGTACACCTGCGTAGATAGGTCTGTCTACCTGCTCAGGTGCACATGCGTAAATAATATGTATGCGCACATGCGTAGAGTCAAATGTGTACCAACATAAATCATGTACGTGTTGTTTATATACACACACGTACACGTACACGTTTCATGTACATTTTTTGACATATTAAAGGGATGAAATGAATCTGGTGTTATCATTTTACTTTATGTGAGGAGGAGGAGGAGGAGGAGGAGGAGGAGGAGGAGGATGAGGATGGTGAATGAGAAATAATTGAAGAGTAAGTAAAGGAGGAATGAGACAGAGAGAAAAAGAGACTTGGTGTTATCTTAAAAGGAGAAAGCATGAGAAAGTGAAATGTTTTAGATATGTTTCAGTGGATATGTCAGCAGATGGAATGAACAACTCAAGGGAGGAGAAGACTTACAAAAATGATATATGTATGGAGAGAGAGAGAGAGAGAGAGAGAGAGAGAGGTGTACGGGGGAAGGACTCGGTGGCTATGTGTGTGTGTGTGTATGTGTGTGTGTGTGTGTGTGTATGTGTGTGTGTGTGTGTGTGTGTGTGTGTGTGTGTGTGTGTGTGTGTGTGTGTGAGAGTGTGTGATGGTTAAATGATTATATACACTGATATATAAAAAAAAAGAACTATACTATAATAATGATATATAACACTAGACCCACAGTGGCCATAGAACAAAGAAAATTATACACTTACCAGGTACAAATTATACAAGTAATTATAGATCCTTATAAAGGTTAATTATATAACCTCCTTCACAGTGTGTTCATTAACCCCCAGGTATACATACAGGTGATCTTAGTCTTATCAATAATTGGTATATAATTGAATTCAAATTATCATCATATTGAGTCTTATGGTAAAGGTGTACAAGGACCAGAATCGTGTATGGAGGAGATAATAATGCTCTGGGGGCAAGAAAGTGCTTCACCTGTCTACTATTTGAGGTGAGTTTTCTTTTGTTATTGTTTGTGTTATTGTTTGTTTTTGTTTTTTTATATATGTGTGTGTTTGTTGTTGTTATTACTAGCACAAATTATTATTATTATTATTATTATGATTATTACTATTCATGATTATTAGACTTTGATATTTGTGTGATTATATCTACGTAATATCCAGCATCTTACTAATACCTGTAGAGTAATTACTATAGTCTTCAGGTATAATTATCCACCTTTTGTATTTACCTGAGAATATTAATCCATTTGATAATTTAATATATACTACAGTTGTTGAAATATTTTGTCATATAGATTTTAGTTCTGATTTATTTTCCTAGAGTAATTTTCTGTGACAAAAATACTTTCTTTTTACTCTCTCCCATTTTCTGATACATTTCCCGTTTTCTATGATGATCTTAATTTTTCTGACATTCCATTTTCTATAACTCGTTTTAAATCCATCCTCTTCTTGTCTCCAGTTTATTGACATATTTCCCATTTTCTATAATTTCCTCAAACTTTCTGACATTCCATTTTCTATAACTCGTTCAAGTCTATGCTCTTCCATTCCCCGTTTTCTGACACATTTCCCGTTTTCTATGTAGCAAGAGGAGGAGGAAACGACCACGACAATCACATACCTCGTCAATGCAGACTACCACCCTGACGACCCCGAGGGACTGGCTGTTGTGGCTGGCCAGAAACTCGTCCTTGTTGACAAATCCAGCCCCCATAAGTGAGTCCGGATTAGGTGATTAGGGTGATGATTAAGGTGTGGCTTGGTGTTGATTGGCAACTGGAGATTTTGTCCATCATAATGAGGTAAGGATTAGGGATTAGGTTAGGGATAAACAAGTCGGGATGAGGGATTAGGTTAGGGATAAACAAGTCGGGATGAGGGATTAGGGATTTAGCATTGTCATCTGTACACACAAACACACTATCATCGTGACACACACACACACCCACACACACACACACACACACACACACACACCCACACACACCACACACACACACACACACACACACACACACACACACACACACACACAGACAATTATAGCTCAGGAAGTTAAACCACCTTTACGTGTATAATTACCACACAACTCTCACAATTACTATTACTGTTGTGCTCCTCCCCCATTATGACCCTGGGTTGGGTCAATGGGGAAATTAGAAACTTACATGTCTCATCCCATAAGTACACCCATTTTCTCCTCCACCCCCCCCATTATTACTACAGTCATTTTGTTAATAGATGGGGTAGTGCTGACAACATGATAAATGGTTTAGTTATACCTTAAGGAAATGTAATGAGGGAGTTTAGTTTAGTTATGCATTATAGGATATAGTTATGGAAATTATGAAAATGGAATGATAGTTTTGATACCGGTGTTTTGTTTTGTTTGGTTTTTATTGGTTTTATTTCGTTTTTATTTTAGTTTAGTTGACGATAATTGATGGTGAGTTTATGAGTCTCTCTCTCTCTCTCTCTCTCTCTCTCTCTCTCTCTCTCTCTCTCTCTCTCTCTCCCTCTCTCTCTCTCTCTCTCTCTCTCTCTCTCTCTCTCTCTCTCTCTATATATATATATATATATATCACATTCTCCTTCCTCTCACCATTCTTCCTTCCTATCCTTCCGTCTGCGTCTTCTGTCTCCTACATTCCTCTCATCCCCCACCCCTCCACCCACCCCCTCACCCCCTCCACCCCCACCCCCTCCCCTCACCCACCCACCCCCACCCCACCCACCCACCCCACCCCATCTCCCACGTCGACTATACCCAGGGTGGGTTAAGTTACCACCCCACGTAGTTTAGTGGCAGTAGTGGTGGTCCGCTACTAGCCACACGCAGTACACCACTAACCTTGTTACCTCGTACAACTCTTGGTGCCATTACTCTCGTTGACCCTTGTTAGGTAAGTGATTGGTAGTTTGGTGGTTAATATGTTGTTAGATAAGAGTTTAAGTAGTTACGTTAGTTAGGTAGTTGTTAGTTAGTTTGGTGATTTGGTTGTTAATGGGATGTTATGATTGGCTGTTATCGTTGGTAAACAAGTGTCAGGTAGTTAAGTCGTAATGGGCTTGTTAGCGGTAGTTTTTTTTTTTTAATTATGGAACTATCATATGTGACTGCTTGTTCGCCTGTTATCATTGTTAGGTAGGTGTCTGGTAGTTAGGTAGTTTGGTAGTTAATCACACGTCTTCTCGTTGATGTTCACATATTTATGGTCATTACGTGAGAGTCAGGGTGTCGTAGAGCCTAGTCTCTCTCTCTCTCTCTCTCTCCTCTCTCTCTCTCTCTCTCTCTCTCTCTCTCTCTCTCTCTCTCTGGCGTTTTTGCGAAATAAGAGAACCAAGTTTTATTTTTATTATTAGCTTGATTAAAATTAATTCACACACACACACACACACACACACACCAAAGGCTTGTATTTCTCTGTATCGTTACATAACAATTCAGAATCACTACACACCGTTGTTTGTTTTTGTGTGTGTGTGTGTTTGTATATGTATATGGATGTGTGTATGTTTGTATAGTGTATATATATATATATGTGTGTGTGTGTGTGTGTGTGTGTGTGTGTGTGTGTGTCCTGATTACGTACAGGGGACCCCGTTAAGCGGAAAATCCCACTATTACAAGTATTTTCTTTGCCTTTGTAGAAGTTCTCTCTCAGGTAACATAATATTATCTTACTTGACTACACAAAGCCATTACCTGTACACAGAGCAATCAGCAGCTCGACCATACCACCTTGACACTGAGAATAACACAGGTGTATCTTACGTTAACGAGTTACCTGAGAGATGTTTTTCCGTTAATTAGAACACACCTCACACTGGGTTTATTTAAATAACATTGGTAACTCATAACTCACCTTGATGTTATGTGTCAGGTGTGGAGATTAAATTAACAGGTGAGAAAAGTCTGGTTAAGGTAATGTGATAAAACACCTGAGATGTTAAGCCTTGTTAGATCTCTACCTGTATAGTTTTCTGAAGTTAATAAGAGGAAGAACTGATGTTACTATAAGTGTGCTCGGTCGCCTGGAAGCTGTGGCAGGGTTAAATAAGCTGGGGTGTCTAATCTTCAGGTAAAATAAGCTGGCGTATCGAATCATCAGGTAAAATTAAGCTGGGGTGTCTAATCATCAGGTAAAATAAGCTGGGGTGTCTAATCATCAGGTAAAATAAGCTGGGGTGTCTAATCATCAGGTAAAATTAAGCTGGGGTGTCTAATCATCAGGTAAAATAAGCTGGCGTGTCTAATCATTAGGTAAAATAAGCTGGGGTGTCTAATCATCAGGTAAAATTAAGCTGGGGTGTCTAATCATCAGGTAAAATAAGCTGGCGTGTCTAATCATCAGGTAAAATAAGCTGGCGTGTCTAATCATCAGGTAAATTAAGCTGGGGTGTCTAATCATCAGCTGAGAGTGAAGTAAGTGGGTCATTTTGGTATAAAGGAATTTTTAATGATGTTTCTAGCTCAGTATTTGATTTTTATTCTCAGGTTGAAAATTACACGTTAATTAAACTATCACCAGGTAGAATTATTACTTATGTTATGTGTCTGTTATTTATACCCGGGATGGTTGGTTATATTTTATAAAGGTGAATAACATCTTCACTCACACACACACACACACACACACACACACATATATCACTTCACATCTACGCTCACGAACAGATATTTCCACACACACTCACTCTCTCTAACGCTCACACTCACACACTCTAACGCCCACACTCACAATCTAACGCCCACACACACAATCTAACGCTCACGCTCTCTAACGCCCACACGCCCACGCCCACAGACGGCCGCGACTGGAGGGAGATGACAAGACAACGGTGGGTCTCCTGGACAACTCGGCTGCCAAGCACAAGATGGCAGTCAGACCCAAGCGGAACCATCCCGACCCAAGATCCCGTGCACAGGAGGCCAGTGAGGAGAGGTGAGGGGGGGGGTGAAGTGAGGAGGTGAGGGAGGGAAAGTGAGGGAGGTGAGGGGGGTGAGGAGGGTGAGGTAGGTGAGGGGGAGTGAGGGGAGGTGAGGGAGGTGGGGAGAGGTGTAGGAGATGTGAGTCGGTTTAGGGGTGAATCCGTGGTGAGTCAGTGGAACCAGCATTCCTTAACCAAATTTAACCACACGTATCTCTACCACACATACCACACCATTTAACGACACCATTATACCACACTACTACCACACCATTACACCGCTACATACCACAACAGCTCACCATACCACTACCACATTCACCAACACACACACACACACACACACACACATACATACATAGAATCCCAAGTCTCGCCCATCAATTGAAAGCTCATCAAAGTTCGTCGAATCCTACACTCAAAACTTTACCTTCATGCAAATTATAAAAAAAAAATCTATTGCCATAATCAACTCCAATCTCCTTTATTGAGGCGACTCCGTAAAGACCTATTACCTGGCATAACTAGTTAACACTTTTCTGTTTGATGTTCCGGATTTTATTTATTTATTATTTTGTGTTTTTGTTTTGATGTGATGGTTGTCATGGTAACGCCAGAGGTTTTGAGAATGGGGTATTTTCTCCATTTCAGGGGAGGGGGTGGGAGGGGAGAGAGGGAAGGGGAGGGGGAAGGGAGGGGGGAAGCAGGAGGGGAGGAAGGAGAAGTAGGAAAAGAAGGAGGAGATGCAAGAAAAAGAGGGAGGTAGAAGCAAGAGAGAAGGATGGAGGAGAAAAGATCAAGAATACAAAAAGTAAAAGAGAAGTAAAAGAGAGAGAAGAAATAGAAATAGAGAGAGGAGATAAGACAGGAGAGAGAGAAAGAAAGAAATAAAGATACAAACAGCCAGACAGAAACAGACAGCGATAAAACATAAATAAAAATAATAAAAACATCTCATAATCACAACACGAAAGGAAATCCAATACCAAACAAACAAACAAACAAACAAACACACAGGAACAACAAAGCCTTAACCCCAGAGAGCATTAACACCTGGATGACCTTGATGTTTATTCAGACCTTTAACCAACACGTCAATATAACTTCCTAAACTGAGGTTCACAATAAATATCTCCTTGCATTACAGTCTCAAGGTAACTTAGACTCCATTTTGGTCATATTATGTGGATGTTAATTAAAGGTAAAGAAGTGTGGGTTGGTTCCTTAACATCTTGCACCTGAGAGGAAAATATATGAGAAAGGTTTTAAATTCTCCTAAGATTCCTAAGGGTGTTTTAATTATGTACTCGTAAACTTTGTGGGATTTCTCTCTTAAAGTTTGATATTTTTTCCTATTTTCATAACTATATATTTCATTTACGTGGTCATTGTCGCCACTGCCTAGAGCTGGTTGGTGGTGGTGAGGTGGGAGGGGATTAATTAATAAAAGTTCACTATATAAGTTATTTTCTTAATTATCTCCAACATCAAGTAATATTAACAAGTATGAATTAATCTAGAATGATATCCAATACCGGGGAAGTTATAATTAACATGTGAAATATATTGATAACTTAGATATAATAACATTAAAGGTAATAACTTAAAAGTGATCAACCACGTTTATTATTTCGTTACTACTTCGAGTGTCTAATTGCCATGTGAGACTCGACCAATCACGAGATTCCTTTGATTTAGTTGCAAGCTTGAAGTGAACAGAATATAGGTTGGGTAAGCTTAGGTTAGATTAGTTTAGGTTAGGTTAGGTTAGGTTAATCTTTGGGTTAAATTAGGTGAGGTGTGAAATCATCAAATAATCTGAATTTTATCAACAAACTTTTCATACGTCTTTTCCTAAACCAAACCAAAACAAAACAAACTCAACCAAACCAAACCAAACCAAACCAAACCAAACCAAACCAAACCAAACCAAACCAAACCAAACCAAACCAAACCTAACCTAACCAAACCAAACCAAACCAAACTCAACCTAACCTAACCAAACCAAACCAAACCAAACCAAACCAAACCAAAACAAAACAAACTCAACCTAACCAAAATAAACCAAACCAAACCAAACCTAACCAAACCAAACCAAACCAAACCAAAACAAAACAAACTCAACCTAACCAAAATAAACCAAACCAAACCAAACCTAACCAAACCAAACCAAACCAAACCAAAACAAAACAAACTCAACCTAACCAAAATAAACCAAACCAAACCAAACCAAACCTAACCAAACCACGCTACTCTTGCAGATGGCTGGTACGGGACCAAGAATCAGGGAAGGAGGGGTTGGTACCATCGCGTCTCCTAGCCGTCCACACCCAGGAGACCACAACCTCCATCAAGGCCTCCCTGAAGCGCTCCATGCAGCACATCGCCATGGAGGAGACCCTTAGCGTGAAGAAGAACTTGATGAAGGAGATTAGAGAGTTTAAGACACGTAAACTCTCTAGTAAGCTCTTGGGGCCCTCTCCTGAAGACGAAGCCAGAGCTAAAAGGACGTGAGTACTGCTGGGAGTGAGTGGGAGAGAGGGAAGTGAGTGGGAATGAGAGACGAAGAGAAGATAGGGTGAGAGTGAGAGAAAGAGCAGGGAAGAGGATGAGATTGAGAAGAATGAGAGAAGGAAGAGGAAGAGAGAGGAAGATAGGAGGGAGAAAGAAAAATAATCAAAGTATGAAAATTAAGGAGAGAGAGAGAGAGAGAGAGAGAGAGAGAGAGAGAGAGAGAGAGAGAGAGAGAGAGAGACCCCTTTATTCAGCCTTAAATAATTTCTTGGAAGGGAAAAGCTAAATCAGTCCTTCATTAACTGATAAAAACTAAATAGTGGAAAACTTTGTAACAAAAATAAGGCGACAGTTTTGTAAATATTATACATAGCTCACCCATGTATGTATGTATGTGTGTATGTATGTATGTATGTATGTATGTATGTATGTATGTATGTATGTATGGAAGACGAGCGATTCTCTACTGTTCTTTAATTAATTCTTTGTTTATTTTTTTATAACATTTCCAAGTTTCTATAAAGTGTTGTTGTTTATATCTTGTTTGTATTTTTGTCTTGCTAATTAATCTGTTTATTTTAAGCTGTTTATTTTAAGCTGTTTATTTTAAGCTGTTTGTCTTTCAGTTTTAATTTATTTATATATATAT